AATGTTTGTATCATTATACGTAAGCGTAATATTTCGATTCGTCTAACGAGAGCAACTATATTATATTATAGTCGATCGTATAACCGAGGGGAAGTACGCGTATATGAACGATTGTAAGGGAAACGATCATTATTTGCGCGAAGAATAAATTTTATATCAATTCCTCTACGTAAAACGATCGAGAAGTTATATATGCTCGAAAATATTGACTCGCGAACGATTGCCTCTAGAAATGATAGATTTGCTAAATGTGAAAGAAAAGCGAAAGAGAACAGAAAGATCTACGCTTCGTTTGAAGGAAGGATGCGTAGACGACGAAATTGAAAGAAGGAATTCGAGGAAACAATGGGCATAGCTGAAGTTGAATTAAAACATTACACACGAAGTAGTTGGTCATCACTGCTACAAGATAAAATTTAGGATCATTCTATATCGTTACATGGATTTTCGACGTTGTGATGGTCCCTGCGGGAGTTATATACTTGGTGTCGTACTTTTTCGTTACACTTTTTATACAAAAGCATAACACACACGCGTGAAACGCGATGCGAAAGCGAAATACGTAGATACAGATTAGACAACATTTATCTGCTGCTGCGTGAAAAAATTTATTACTCTTTATTTTTTTCGTAAATCGATCGAAGCATATTACTCGATATTATCGCGACGATTTGCTGTCAAAATATGATCAAATTCACTTTGATCTCTATTACAATTGACATTTTGGAATAATGTGAAGCGACTGCAAGTTACGAGTGCTTGAAACTGAATGTAATAGTTCAACGAAAAATTACGAGTCAACTTATAAAAAAAAAAAAAATGCAATGTAATTGTTAAATAGTACTATCATCGGACGGAAGATCTGAAAAATACTCTGAAAAAAATGACCCGAAAGTTTCTGTAATTTAACGATAAGTAATTTGGAGCACTCGTGGAAACGAGGCAATAAAAATTGCAAATGTACTTATAAAAGCGTTTTGTCACAATGAGAAAGTGCGTGCTGATGCAGTCATAGAAGAATCCTACGAAAAGTCCTATGAATTCCATACCACAATACTGATTATTATATGTAACACGTTGGCTGAATTGATTTTTGATTAAACCTCGTAATAGGATATATCTATGTCTGTTCTCTACTTATTTAGCAATACAATATTTAATATATGTACCACTTCTATCTTTTAATGATCCGCCATGAGTTGATACGCGTACAATTAAAAAAGCTATTTAACTCTGTTCGTGTCAGAAGATGGCCAACGTGTAAAAGACAATAAGTTAAAAAAGGAACTTAACGAACTAATTTATAACGGTGCTATTGCAACTATTGCACCGATTAACAAGCTACGTCGCATCAAATCGAAAATACACGCATAATTTTCGTAACTTCTGACTGTGCGATTCGATACGAAAGATAAACGCGGAAAAACTGAACCTCACGACGCTATTTTATAGCTACGCTCGGTTTGTTGATATGCTTACGATATATTGTTCTGGCTTAGAAGCCATCGATTAAATAAATAAGTTCGGACGAATAAAATAAATAAATAAATGAAACCAATCGATCGTGATTTATGTTACGACTAAGCAGTTACGACTAAGCTTCCGTACAAAAATCTTAATGTTAAGAGAGGAAAGTAAAATCTTTGATTGTTGGACGGAGTCGTGCAAAAAAGAGGGACAATTTAGATTGTTTTATGCGCTAAAACTTTTTTCTTTATAAAAGTAAACGGCTACACACAAGATCAGTCGAGGATATACAGATATCAAAAAGCAGCAAATAGAATGTAAAATAACAACAAACACATAATCAACGTTTAATTGATATAAAACTAAATTTTACATTCTTTATATACAACAAATATCACTCGTCTAACAATAAGAAGTATGATCTGTTTATCCTCAACAGTAATATTTTATGGAGAAATGAAATCCTGATATTTCTATCGACGTGTTGTACGAACGAAAAAAAGAATGACTAAAGAAGTCATTCGTTAATATTATCTAGGTAATGTTACCTACAAGATTATTTTCTCTTTTGCATGATACCGTACAATCCGTTATGTCGGTATATGTAATTATACGCTCGATTGCAATAGTACGGGCTTGTACTTACTTGCATGTTTAAAGCGGTAGACTCAAGTCACAGATTCGAGAAACAAGAAAGAAGAACATATATATTCGGCGCATCTCAGCATAGTGTACAAAACGATCAAAATTTTAACACGATGTCGAGCGTTCTCGATGACCACCGATGACCGACGAGCCTACCGCTGATCCTATCACTAAGACGAACGATGCTTTGTTATTATTCTAAAAAATACTGTACACAAGAATACCTAAGTTACGTCGAAGCTCGTTCCACGCGCTCGGACGAGCACTGAAGCTATGTGAAACACGATCGAACTGATACGCTTCCCTCCTCTTTTCCTTTAATTATAGATAAGATAAAACAGGCGGAACGATGTTGAAACTACGTTCTGACAGGAGTTGATTATTTCGATTTTTCGGTTTCGTTATTTGATAACATCGAAGTTCACCTCTTTAGGAAGCGGAAGAATCCTCGGCCTTTCTCTGGTGGGGTTGCCATTAACATCGGTACTTGGTTTTTATGTGTTATGTGAATCTGAAACAATGAACAATATATAGAAATTTTGCATACATACATATGATGAAATAATTGTTGAATTTTTAAAAAATTAACTCACAGTGCACGGACCCTGCATCCATGGTTCACCATCGATTTGCATTGGGAAACGTTTGCTAGTGGTGATGGTGACGCTACTGCATTGAGCCAACCTTCTACCGGAATGACGAAGTCCAGTTTTCACTTGACCCATGTGCAAACAGTTCTCTAAACCGATCACCTCTATGAGATTGTCTCCAATATCTATAAATATACCAATTATTTTTCATTTGTTCTAATTGCATTTTTTTTTTTGTTAAATGATTATCAAACATTAATCAAATACTTGCCTTGTATCGCGGCTGTAAGATCTACCGAATTAAAGCTGCTGGTGCTGAGTTCTTTGTCTGGTCGTTTTTTTCGTTTGCCAAGACGATGTCTCGTATGGTGTTCACCCCAGAGATTGGAACCTCCGTGAGTAAAAGGAATGTTTAATAACGCGACACCTTGGAGGGAAGGTCCGTGGGCTAAATCCAACGGAGTTCCATCACACTGTAAACGAAAGAGAAGTCACGATCAATATCACTGGACAAGTAGAATTAATTAAGCTTAAATGACATTTACGTACAATGATCTCAAGATCTTCGTGAAGATTCTTACAGCTGGCAGCAAATTGTTCCGTGGTCGCGTACTCAAAGTACCAAAGTTTGTTCTTCATCCTGCTATTGAATTTCTCAGGATTCTTTTCCCTTTCCAGGTGGAACTTTACGCAGATCGCCGCGTCCACGCCCACGGAGAAGTAATTGTTAATGATATTGTACGGAATACTGTCTTGATTTGGTTTCTTTTCGTCTTTCTGATCGAGCACTTCTATTTGCCAGCGGTCCATCATCACAGTTGTCGCTTTCTCTATTTTCTAGAATTTATTTTATACAGTACAAAGTTTTTTTATTAACATCTTTTCAACTATCCGAGTAAAAATCCGCTTTTCATTACGAAGATCTACATACTTTGAGTACTTTGTGGATAGCTTCTCCTTCGTAACCACCACCCCATCGCAAGCACCTTGCAAGGTCGTTGCCGGTACCTAATGGTATGACACCTACGGCAGGTTGATGCTCGAACTGAACGCGGTCTGAAGTTCAAACATGCAAATGACGCTTATAAACGAAACATTTAAGGACCTAATTCTTAAGTCGTTATAATCGTACCCATTGTTTCTAAGACCCAGCCAACGGTACCATCGCCGCCGCAGCAGATCACTTTAAAGTTCTCCACGTCCTTGAACATTTGCAAGCCCTGCATAGGTCCGCCCACGGCTAGATTATGAACTTGGCGCGGGTTCAAGATATATTGGAACTTCCTCAACATGCGTTCACCTTGCCTCCCTCCGGATTTTGGATTTATGAACACCAGGAGCGGCACAGTACCCGGCGGCGGTGTAATTTGGAAAGACATGGCTGGCTGTTGATTGGTTGCAGTACCAGACGTCAAGAATCCACTATGCTAATAGAATTTTGCATCTCAGATTAGAATCCTTTGATCCTTAGAATCATACCGTCTCTCACTGGCGTTTAATCGTTCATCTTATTGCACTTACCGAGCTAACAATCGACGAATCCTGGCCGTGTTTGCTCCCTCTTTTACTATCCCTGGACAACGATCTTTGTCTGTCTAGGACAACCGGACAAATCGCCGTAGGCGGCAGGATATGGACTGCGTACTCGCCCAGCGTGCATTCTGCCCTCACTTGCGAAACGCATTTGTTGTGCAGCTGCAAAAATTATTGTTTTCCACTTTTAACTTTTTAGTAAATTTTTAGTATATATATATATATATATTTTTTTTTTTTCAGTGAAAATCCAAAAGAAAAACCTACGTCGAAATTTATGTTAAAAATTTCAGATATCGAACTTACTTACACACAGTTTGAGTAACTGCCGACGTAATTTAACTTAATTGCCAACGTAAAGATTAAATCCGAAGGAGAAAGGAAATGATCGATGAAAGAAAGAAAGAAAGAAAGAAACATCACTCACTGTCAATTGACACCACCTGCAGTGCAAGCCCGTGATCCCGTTGTAACTCTTGATAGTTTTTCTACATTTAAAGCATTTGCCGTGACAATTCCCCTCGACCCAATGGTGCGCCATCGTCTGCGACGTTTTCTTGCTTTTCACGTAGGTGGCTATGCAAGAGGCTGGCGCCCTTTGAACGCATCTTTCATGGACCGTGTACTTGCAGACTGTGGAAAAAGAGACGGGCTCGTTTGTTTCCCGTTTCGATGCAAATGAAAAGGATCGTTGGTAGTTAAGGCGTCGCGTTACAATAACTCCTCTCGTTTTCCCTCCGATAAACAAGCCGGATCGATATCGCTTTGCGATATAAAAATTGTTCTCCCTTCGTTGCGGATTGCAGAGGAGCAGAAGGAGGAAAAAAAGGAGAAAAAGAAGAAGAAGAAGAAGAAGAAGAAGAAGAAGAAAGGTGGAGGCTCATCAGATGGAAATGTTTTTCAGCAAAACAGCCGCGACATCGCGTAATACTTACAAACGCAACAAAGACCCTTCTTCCCGAGACCGACTAACATATTCAGACAGAGATTGCAGTAGGCGGGCTTGCTAAAGTGTTTTAGCCTCCAGAGGTGGTTACCATCTTCCTTTACGTGGGAATCCAAGCCCAAAAGAACCAGCAACGGGATCGTCGTCAGGCCACCCCTTTTCCATTCTTCCAGAGATACCGTGCCATCCGCGTCGTAGTCTATCTCTAGCATCATGTCTTGCAGTATCTAGAAATATCGAGCAGTTACTTTTAGATCGATTTCTCATTTATTCGCTGTGCATACGTACGAGGGACTTGGACTTTCTCGCAAATTTCTGATATTTCATTTTGGTCAGGGGAACGTTTTGCTAAGACGTTTTCGGGAAAGAAGCTCTTCCCATGAATCTTACAAAAATGGCTTCGAGAAAGGAAACGATACCGCGTTTAGATGAGATAGAAATGGAAATATCGGCGGTGCGCATGGACGATAGTGTCAGCGCGTGTATAAAGAGGAATATTAATGATATTCATCACAACTCACCGGTTTCAATTCGGAGACATCCCATCCGAGATACTCGGCCACATTCATCATCTGATTGACAATGCAGTCCATCTCCTGGGGACACGCGACAATGATATTAGACCCGTGGCTATGCTAGATAAGGCGCTTTCGAACCGATCTATTTCAATTCGTTGATAGACTTCGTCTTTCTATCGGCAGACGTATCTGCGATTAATCGGTCGATCAAATTTTCAATGCTTCCGCGATGCAAATGCCTGGCGACCCTTTCGTTTAACAAGAAGTATAAATATAAAATCGATCGTTCAAAGCCTCTACAAAGTAATTCTAATTCTATACTGCTTCCATTCTCTCCCCTCGTATCGAAAAGGCTCGATGAGAATCGATTGTCGTCCGTGGTGATCGAAGGAAAGGGAAGAAAAAAAGAAGAAAAAGAAAAAGGGAGAAAAAAGAAAAAGAAAGGATACCAAAACGGAGAATCGAAGTTTTTCTCGTTCTACTCACGTTTGTGTCAAGAACGCCGTTTCCGTCTGTATCGTACAGCCGGAACATGACTGGAAAAAAAGGAGAGAAAAGGCAAATGAATTAATGCGCGTTGAAATTGGCGTGCAACAAGTTGCAGGCAGATATTCAAGCTCGAGTGCGCTGTACGCGAGTGCAACTAGCGAAGCAGACCGAAAGAATGACTGGCGTTGGACACGCGAGTCTGAATGTTTAAGGATTCGCACAGTCGCGATTCGTTCGTGCGTGATCGTTTGTTTTTTACGAGACCATGACTCGCGAAATCGAAATGCTACGAGGATACGTTGATACCGGTTGCCCGAGAGATCAATGGAAACAAAAATACCCCCGTTCCGCTAGGGTCTAATTAACTTCCCTCGATACAAAAAGAAACGATTACTCACACTCTAATTTATCTTCTGGCCTGCCAGCTTCCAGGAGAGAAAGGTAGCACACGATATCCTTGAGGCTGACTTTAACCGAGTGGACATCTATCGTGCTCTGTTTCCTAACGAAGTTTCTCATCTCTGTGAATTGGAAGATAATGAACGAAGCGTGTCATTTAATTGCTCCAAAACTTTTCGCTCCCTATTCATTATCGCTTAGCCTCTTCGTCGGTGACACAAGTGACTACAGGTATCCAACGTTTAATTCGACCCGAATTAAAAGCAATCTACGTCTAAGTAGTTAAGGACAGCTATAAGTCGGACGTTAAAATTTCCTCAGAACTCTGATTTAATACGTACGATCTCTTTTCTTTTTTTTTATTCTACTCCATTTGTCATAAAAGGGAATAAAAGTGATCAAAACGTAATAGTTCGCGTCTATTTCATTATTAGAAGCATAAATCTGTTGAGTGATACGGCGTTAGTTGTGTGACAAGCAGTGTCGCATCTGCAGCAATCCGTAAACGTAAAACGCCATTGCGAATGACTGACGTCCACGATGCGACTAGACAGTCTGCGACTATTATTGCGTCAACTCGTCAGACTTCGCGCGAAATTCCCTCGGCTAGCTATCCAGGAAAAATCGTAGTCTGGTGGCGGTGTCAGAGTCGAAGGAAAGTCCGGTCGAGTATTATTTTTAGATTAGAACGGAACGCGGCTTTCGTCAGCCGCGTCTAAGTGCCTGCACAAGGGACCTGTTGCTTCGCAACTGGGATTTAGGAACCAAGTATCGATGCATGCACACGAGTACCGGCTCTAATTATAACGATCGAAGCATTGCACGTGCACGATCGCCCGTTCATGACGAATATTCTTGGAAACACGATACTCGCGAGCGCGGGTTTCGTGTTTTGCCTCCGTGCGATTTCGCTCGATGCGAAAACAATCTCTCGATCGAACGATCGAAAATACAACAAACGTTCGTTCTGATTACCAGTTTATTCCCGCGCGAGGTATAGCAACCTTTGACATCTGATATCTTGCTGTTACATTCTCGCATGTGCTTTTATAACAAAATGTAACTCGATGATAACAAAACTGTGCCGCGGTACTCGACTTCTTACGCCACGATTTACCCACTCCGATCTCCATGAGAATCTCACCTTTCACATAAAAAAATTACTATCTACGTAACCGAACGGAGGAATCTAATTGCCAAAAATGGAAATCGAAAGATGGAGACAAAATGCGTAGAAAAAAAAAAAAGTGACAAGTGAACTGGTTGAAGATTTGAGAGAACAACCTCGCCGAGTGATTTTCAATGGCACTGACTTTAAAATAGACACTTGGCGTAGCCAAGGCCAATACTCGGATAGTAATATAATTCCGAACGACCCTGAAATATATCTGTAACAAATGTTTCAATCATTCGCCAAAGAAAAAATACATATGTATATATATGTATCGAGTTTCACCCGAAAAGTCGACGATTCACCCGTACTAGACGATTTCTGAACTATTCGAGGACACTCGAGGATGACTCAATGAAACAAGTGGAACGTGATTGTCTGGCCGAGAGAGGCGATTAACAGTTCGCTACGTTGTCGATAAAAATATCTGCCGAATCGAAGACGGGAGAGACGAAGCCTCGAGACATCGATATTGCCCCTGTAATTTCCCCCTCGTGATTTTTACGACTCTCCTCGTCGATACGCAGGCACCTGAGGTGTCCCTGTGAAGGAAATAGAGAAGAGGACGAGAGCGAGAGGAAAAAAAAAAAGAAAAAAAGAAAGGAAGGAAGGTAATAGGATAAAGCGGCTGGTCACGAGGGAAATAAAGCTGGTCGATCAATCGTGGAAGGCGAACGATTTATCGTTAGTACGCGCAACAATGTTGCGAAACAAATTCATCGGCTTGTTCTATGACTCTCTGGCGGTCCATTCCGCTTCGTCCGTGATTTCTCGATGGTTATGCTCGCCATTTATCTCGAACGACCCGCCGCGAGAACTGATCTCGTTCTCACGGAGAATTGTGTTTTGAATTCCCTCTTGAGAAAATCAACCGCCGCGCAGTGCCAATCCACTGATTGCGAGTTCCATGCTCGCTCTCGTTTCTCACAATGTTGCACATCGTTGTACGAAAAGAAGAAGATCGTTGGAATAATGAATGATGAATTTACGACGGTCGGGATTTTAGACAGACGAGATTTCTCGGATTCAATAGACAAATATCGATGTTAAGTGCAATCCCGTTTGCACATGTACTTGCCACACTATGATTAATTACTCGTCCAAACAACGAGATGTGCACGAAAAACGAAAAAAAAAAGAGAGAGAGAAAAAAGGAAAGAAGTTCATCGATCATCAGCAGAGAGACGCGCATACGTCTAGTATGGCGAGTTCATTTGAGAAGTTTGACTGCAATTTACTCCATCGTGCAACGAGATCGCTGCGAACAATTAATTTAATTGAAACCATCGATGCTCGCCGGATGACACGATTGATTGCTTCGCCGCGATGATCACGGCGTAATGAATAACCAGACGGGGCTAACTTATTCGACGTTATTTCCGGCGAGATTTCATTTCGCCGTATGAATAGAATCATCCTGGACGGCCACGTGCATTGTTTCCCGCACGACGATTAATCCTCGCACAACCGGGCAGCACAGCCTGCTCTCTCGGCCACGTCGGAAAAAAAAAAGAAAAAAAAACGATACTCTTCCGCGATGAGTCATTTTCGTTTGATAAAAGGGCTCGATGTTTCGCCCGTTGCCAACGACAGGAAATTATTGGTCTGCCGCGGCGGGTGTCGCTGACGCAAGTGTTTTCACATCGGTACGGGCTGGTTCGTGACTACTTTTTAATTCTCTTGTTACAGACATTAGCGAAAATTAGCGATCGCCGAGTAATATGAGTATATTAAAGTCGCTAACGACTTTATAATGCGATTAGACGATGAAGTTTACCCCCCCGAAGAAAGCCGAAAGGGTGGAAAACAAATTCTGTGACGCAAATTACTCGAATAGAGTGACACTTAAACTTTCTCGAGTTGATCACTTGGAAGCTAGTTACCAAAAAGCAAGACTAGATTACTCGTACTCTCTGTGAAAATCGAAATAATGTTGCGGAAGAATTTCAATTGGAGACACGCGTTGTATGTGCGTACGTGTTGCGCGACATATCGTTTATTAATAAAATTCCACTTCGTTCAATCAGACGTCCAACAATTTTACACGCTGTATAATGTTCGCAGAGAGCAGAGAACGCAATTCGTTCAGACTGCTATTGATTCGCTTTCTCTCAGTTTGGAAAAATATCGCCCTGTTTCTCTCACCTTCCTTCAGCAGCGGCCCAGGAATATCCGACAAATGTATTCGATCGCTCTTCAGTACCATTCTGTCAGGATTCGATTATTAACGAGTGATCTCAGAGTTGAGAGATGCCTGATAGACGATCAGGTCGTAGTTCAGAATACCATTAGGCGATCGCCGATCGCGATCAACGATTAATGTAGAGCGGGAAATATGAAGATGACACTTGTTGCTTGCCGCGTGTCTCGAGAGATACTGAGAAAGTGTATCGAGAGAGTTTCGAGTCGAAGAAGAGTCGCGATATTCTCTAAGTTTGATGTTATTTATACCGGATGGTACCGGTGCGCTGTTATTTCGGGGATCGGACGAATACGCAAACTCTCAGGCGAGCAGCGGGACAATCGAAAGACGCGAACGACGTTTGAAATATTGACTGATTTATTTACTTGTGTATTGGTTGCCATTTATTAGAATAACGATCGACAGAAATTAATGTAAAGGAAAGAAACTGTAAATTTGTAATGTTGTTGAAAAAAAAAACTAGAAGAATGAATTGTTCCAGGGATCGAAAGGGTTAGAGAACATTTAAATAGTTGGCTCTATTTGAAATATAGATCGTACAACATTTTGCGAAAAATGTTCTTCCAATGATGAGGCCAGATAAATGAATTTTGAAATAAAATTTTTTAAAGTAAAAAGGTTCCAGATCGAATGGAGTTTATGAAATATAAAAATAAAAATTTTTCTGTCGGATAAGGAAATAATTCCATATTTGTAGCAAATATTAAAAGCAACGGACACCGAATACTATTCAATGTACTCGAAAATGGATTTTTAATTAAATGTTCTAAAATAACTCGTTTCCATGGAACTTTTATTATATAGATTTTCTAAAATATCTGCTCTATGAGAACATTGTTCTTAAATGTAACACTTCTTTTTATAAAAATTCCACAAAAACAGGTATTTTTTTATATAAAGTATATAAGTTCGAATTTTTTTTAAAGACGAAAAGAACCTGTTAATATCGATCCCCGTATTTCTTGGATTGCTTTGGCGACGTACAAGCTATATTTCTTGAAAATCATCACACGTGGAGCATATTATAATAATTATTTTAATTATACATTTTATTTATTAATATTTTATATTTCATCGCACATGTCACGCGGTCTTTCCATCATTTTAATAATTTCCTCGAACGAAATTGATCTGTTTGATCACGAAACGAAGGTGATAACAAGGCAAGGTAAGAACAGAACGTTTGATGTCACTCTTTTCATGTCTCGAAAATATATCGCCTTTGAGATTTCATCGTTTCCCCGTTTCGCGCAGGACAACCCGGCAGCTAATCTTGAATTTTCCCCGGGTCGCGCCGTGACATTTCGCAAAGATCAAACTGTCATTTTAAAATGGATATTTACGGGATTTCCTGGATTTCGACGATCACGAACGTTTAGTCTACCATGTCAAAATCTCGTCAAAGTCTGCTAAATATTTCCTCGACGGATCCAACGGATTAAAGGTCACTCTTTACACGCCATTACCTGCGGATACTCTTTTCCCAGACACCTCTTTCATCTTCCCAACTTTCGTACTTCGCAGTTATTACATTTACGCAACCTCGTTTGCTTGAATGAAATTTCAGTTGGCGCTAGATTAACTGAACTCTGACTCGAGTAAATTTACTGAATTAATGAAGCTCTTTCGACGCATTTATCTTAACGCGAGCCAGCATCTCAATGAAAAATTATACTTTGGGTAACAGTAGCTTTTGTCGAGCGAGTAACTTACACGTCAATTAAAGGAACAATAAATTATCGTAAATGGCATTTACTGTGGTAGATAATAAACCGCTATAATTGTCTGCAACTCAACGATATTAGGTGAAGATTAAAAGAAATTTCGAGATCCGTTATAAAAATTTTTCAAGTAGCTACTATAGCTACATATTGTCACAAACGTACGAAAACCAAGCTTGGGACTTGTTTGTTTCAGCCGCGCAAGCTTAAGATGTAAAATATGAGAGTATAATTGTGTGTGTGAGACTATGCGAAAACGAAGGTTTTGAGGGTAAGATTTCGAATAAAGAGTACCGAGTTATGGCAGGGTGCAGATCGTGAGAAAATTATAGAGAACTTAATATTTTTGTGTCACCGCCATATTCGGATTTATTCAGTTTCCCTTAATTTCTAAATTAATAAATTTTATTTTTATTTTAAATCACTTGGTTGAATTTGTGCGTTGTTTTTACCTACACTACATCTATGATGATTGATGAGAATAATGGTTCGTGGAGATGTGAACGAGGATCGTATCTTTTTCAATTCCGTTACAATAAAGCACTCTTAGCCAATGCGTCAAGTTATAATTTAACGATCGCGTTACGTTTCTATCCTGTGAATAATGCATCAGTGTAAAAATCTGTAGGCGAACAGAAACTTCTTACTATATCGAGCATAAAGCGTCTTTTCCGGCAAAAAAACTCTGTTCCACCCTTTCTACGCATATAAATTTTTCCACTGAAGCGAAGGATATTTTCGCGTTTTTTTCTAGAATGAATTAAAGGTGGCTAACTGGCGGGCCCTTGCCCCCACTTTTCTGATCGCTAGCGCTACCCCCTCCACTACATTAACCCCCACTCTCTCTGTTGATTTTTCTATTAAGCAAGTGAAAAGATCGATATGCCAATTCCTCAGGCCACCGACAATCTCATCAGCATGAAAATTACTCCCGGATATCTGGACTCTTAAACAGAAACTTTTTGCTCGAAAAGTTGAGTAGCGTTTCACCTCGCTGTTGTCGAGAAATTTATCGTCCCCTGGGATACTGGCAAGAAGAGTAGTATCTTTTGGAAAGATCTTCCGAATTTGTACACGTGTAGGTCGTAATGAGATTGTCTCTGTTTGCTCGCCCTCTAACATTTTCTATCTACCGTGCAACTGGACTTTCACGTCCAGTCTGACCGGTGTGTCATCTTTCTACTTCGAGTTCATAAATCTATTTCTTACTTTCTCCATTATTCGTGTCTTTCTCTACTGGTGAGCAAAAAAGACAGTACACGATAATAAAATAGAAAGAGAGAAATTTTCTTTGATATTGGTAATGGATCTTTTGACATGGGAGTAAGTAAGCTTGGAGAAAAATTTTTTTCATCAAGCGGCGCACGATCGGACGTGCGTCAAGAGTTTTTCCGATGCGTCGTACACGTGACGCAGAGGAAAATCGATTAAGACATCATCGAGCTACCTAGTGGACGCGTCGTTCATATTCTTACAAAGTTTTACGGTGTCGAGCAGCTTGCTTTTACGGCGTCGATTTGTTTGTCAACCTATATATCACGACTTGTCGTAAAGAATCCTCGAACGATGATCACGGCGGGGGAAAAAAAGAGACAGAGTTACGTACTGTTACGATCATCCTGATGATATCGTGTCGGGACACAAGCTTATAGCCGCGAGATTATTCCTCGTTTCACGTTTCGAGCCCGGACGTTTATCGGCGGTGTTTCATTGTGTCCCTCAAGACAAAATATCTGTGCTTTCCATTCGGGATGCGATCAAAGCTACAACTTCCCGTTCGAATTTGTTACACGTATTTTAGTATTTTAGTACCGTTGCTCGTTCTCAAACGCGAGTTGAAGATTCCACACGAGAATTTTAAAATATGCAAACTCGAAGATATTGAGATCTTGAAAGTTAATCTCTGTCTCTTCGTGAGACACGAAAATGATCGAAGTATTTCTTTTTTCGATTCATCAGTCCGACACCGTGAGAAATAAAACGAATAAAAAAAAGAAAGAAAGATAGAGAGAGAGAGAGAGAGAGAGAGAGTGTGTGTGTCCATCAGACACGATCTGTAATTCCGTTGGAAAGCAACGAGGAATGCCAACGAGGAGCGAGAAAATTGGTCGACGTCGTCGTTAACATCGGGCTCGACCTACCTTCCAATTTCCCGTTGTTGACGAGCAGCGAATTATTCGACTTCCTGGACGAATTCCGTGACATTTGGCTGTGACTGGGGCTGCTGTCGGTGCTCTTCTTCTCGATCACGTCATGGCAGCTGTACGACGTATGCTGTATCGTCAATATAGGATGGACGCTCCCTTCAACGGCCGAGCGGATGAAACACAAGAGAGGATATTGCCAGGTGAGCGATCAGATGGACGACGACGGCGAGCTTTCGTGATTTATCGCGGCTCCGCGATTCTCGATTTACCCGGCTGGCGAGGCAATGTCTAATGGATGTTCGCGGGGCACCATCATCGCATTTCTGACCGCCTTTGTCTCCGATTCCGATCAATCAGACACGCGAACACCGGATAAACCGACATTGGTCGTCCAGCGTGTGCGTGTTAAATTTCCCGCAAACGATCGACTGTTCGCCCGTTTTCGACAGAAGGACGAAAACCGCTGACACTCGTTCGAAAACGTCGCGTTAAATATTGCTCCGTTTGCGATCGCGGCTGAAACCAGCCGCTAACGAGAGTTTCGATTTTCAATCGGTTTAGGTTACCGGCCATTTCGATGGAAACGATGATTAGAGGACCGAGTTTTTTTTATCGCTGAATACAGTATACTCGTTGTTACGCTTTTAAAAAAATTGTCATTTCTTCGTGCGCAGCTAAGAGGTTGGATCGCTTCATTCGAAGGCGAAACATAGGAAAGAAAATTACCTCGCTTTGACACAACCGATTCTTGTACTATTATTTTCATGAAGTTTCTATCGAACACGTTGCTTTAACAACCTCTTAGCTGTATGTATGAAGAAATGACGATTTTTTTTTTTATACTTGTTGCTATGCGAGAAAAGTAATTTGTAACAATTTGTTTATACTCAGATTAAACTTTTTGCGGTAAAATAAGACGTATTTGTAAATTTTAGACATTTTAGAATATTTTGAGACTAGACTCGAATAATTCTAAACGTCGTTTCTAAATATTTTCTTGTTGTTAATATTAATTAAGTTAAATACAATAAAATTATTGATTTTTCCAAAAAAAAAGAAAAAAATTAGTGTTAGTTCTTTATAATTTAATTCAATTTTGCAGCAGCTACGCATACTCTGTGTCTGACGAGTATAGTCGTCATCGTTCTGCACGAGTAACGTCGTCATCGACGAGTATAGTCGTCATCGTTCTGCACGAGTAACGTGATAAATATCCAGTAATAAATCTCCTTTTCTACGTTTTCCAAAAAGGAATATAATCAAATTGAAATTTCATTTTTCACGATGTATCGATTTACTTTCTTCGCGGTTTTAAGTTCATTCTCTCTACCTTACGCCCGAATTTCAGAAAGAAAGATCACCGTAATGTCATTGGCTTTCTTTCTCTTCTTTCTTCTTTTTTCTTCTTTTTTTTGCTTTTTTGAATCAAGGTTCTTGATTATCATTTATCACTGAATGAACACCGAAACCCTCTTCGATGCGGATTGTTGCCGCCGGCGAGGAAAATTGACACATCTCTGACGATTTCGTCGTGGGATTAAATCACCGAATGAACACCAGTGATCATTCACGGGGTGACCCACTTTGCACGATCGATCGATTTTTTTTTTTTTCCGCGGCGCGAAAACTCGCGTTTGCACAGCGGCGCTCGCCCGATGACAATGTCAGAATCGTTTGATCGCGCAATGTATCATTCGGCATTAGAGCGCCCGCGATAAATAAAAATAATTGACGGTTGTTTTGCCAGTGTGCAGATTGTGCCCCGGGACAAGGTTGTCAATTTGTTAACTTCAGCGCGATGCTGGAATTGAGATTTATCTATCGAAAGCACGATGGATTATTCGCGTGTCGAAATGACAATAGAAAAAGAAACGAGCAAACATACTGCTACGAAATGTTCCTTCAGAGTACCGAATTTGACGAATCAGTGGTCTTGTCAATCAGATTTTGTAAGGATCTTCGAGTCACTTGACTTTCACGAGTCAATAATATCGGTGAAATTTGATGAAATTGGAAGTGCAGTTTGAAGTTTTATTTGAGAGAGAGAGAAAGAAAAAAAAGACAACATCTCGCACGTACAATCTTAATCGTCCGCAGTAAATGAAGCGTGGCTAAAAGTATTTATTGTCCGATACTCTCGTATCCGGTAAGAAACAGCCAGTCAGTAGAAACATTGCAGTCGTTTTCACGCCGGATTCGAGGAACTTAATATTGCATAACGTAGCTGCAAAGTCGCGCAAGTGAGAGACGATTCAGCGCGTTTACACGCGCGTGTGCATGCATGTACGGGCCGTTTACACGGTAAATACCTTTATCAAAGATCTAAATTTATCGTCGAAGGACATTCTAAATAAACCATTCCTTTGTCAACCTGTTTCAAGGATTAAACAGCCGCGGGTAATTAAAGGCAACAACAATTTTCTCTCTCTCTCTCTCTCTCTCTCTCTCTCT